GAACCCTAAACCCTTAAACACCTAAATAGCCTTAAACCCTTAAGCCCTAAACCCTGAACCCTATCAGGCTAGGATGTCGGAGCATTTAGTTACACATGTATTAATAAAGGGAACCTCCAGAGCTGGTGCTGATCACAATTTCGTGGTGACATCTAATGCAGGGGCCTTGATAATTGGAATAGTGTTTCGGGCTATATTATACTGTAATTTGAATAGGGTTTCGGGGTAGAATGTACTACTGTAATTAGAATAGCGTTTCGGGGTGCATTATGCTGTAAACATAACAAGGAACCACCAACATAGTATTGGTAATTGTGTAGGCTCCTATGTCAACCCACATGTTTTTTTCTCAGGTCCCTACATCAAACCCTAAACCCTAAGATTTTCGTTGCAGTGGGGGTGAGGGTTGAGCCTTCACGATCTTCAGAGTAGAGAGATACTGTAATATAGGGGCCTTACTAATTAGAACAGAGTTTTGGGGCCCTTCATTATAATAAGGTGCCCCCAAAATAGTATAGGTCCAGGTAATTATTTAGGCTCCTATATTACCGTGGCTCAAACGCTGCATCATGACAGGCGTTGCTTGCTGGTCGACAAAATGCAAGTACTATGCCGAAGAATGCAGACTGCACGAACTTGTGCTTTTAGGGATTGAGTTTAGGGCCTCTCTGGGTTCAAGTCCCTGTCTACAATCATTCTCCCCTAAACCCTAAATCCTAAACCCTGGAACCCCGAGCAGCCGATACAATCCAAGCTTGGGTGCTGGAAGACGCCATCACCCCCATGAGATGTCCCGAGCACCTCAAGCGGTGCTCACTGCGCTTTGGGTTTCGGGTTCAGGCTTGCAGCAGGCAGGGCTGCCGAATTGCATGAATCTGTTCTTCATGGGTACTTATGAATAGTGAGGATCCCACTTCGCAGGGTCACGCTTTCGGTCCTTACTTGTCCCGTGACTTCCTGAGTGCTGAGTGTAGCGCTCAAGGCTAGTCTATTCCGCCGATCATTGCTGCCATCATTCTTCCTGCTCGTATTGTCTGTGAGGACAGGAGCTTGCTCTCAGGCGGTGTCGAGCAGATGCCCAAGCGGAGAACAATAGAAATAGTGAGACAGTATCATATTCGCAAAGAGAACTGCTAGTCTTGAAAACCCCTCCGATACCTCTTCAACAACATGCAGCTTCAGCTGTGTTGCGGTGTTTTCAGAATACGCGGACGCGTTCGCGCCCTTCAATCCTGCGAGAAAACGACAGCCTAAAGTCCCGAGCCCTGACACCCTGAATCCCAAACTAACTTCCTTGAGACACTATAGGAATACTTGCAACCCCAAACCCCTTTACACTCTAAACCCTTACGCTCCAAACTCATGTAAAGCCTACAGTAGAAGCCTAAAAACCCAAAGCCGAAACTCCCGTAACATCATAATACAAGGCCTTGATAATTAGAATAGGGTTTTGGGGTATATTATACTAGAACTATAATTTGGACCCCCCCCCAAACTAGTATTGGTACTTCTTTTGGGCTATAGGGCCCTATATTGACTCCGCAGAAGACTCTCATTAAAATCCTAATCGGAATCCTAGATAAAGTAAAGACGCCCTTGTAAAGACCTGAGACACCTTTGGCGACTTTAGCGTTATCCAACCCAGTGTACAAAACTCATAAAACCGTCTGAAGGAAGGTATTCACTGCTAGTGCTCTATTTCAAACCGTGTTTTTTTAACCCCATCAAGCTCCTAAACCCTTATGGAACTCTTATAAAACAGCAGCATTACCTCATATAGTGAAACCCTAAACCCAAACCCTCAGAAAGCGAAACCCTAAACCCTAAACTCTCAAAACGTGAAACCCTAAACCCTATACCCGCATATAGTGAAACCCTAAACCCTAAACCCTCATATGGTTAAACCCTACACCCTAAACCCTCAACTATTCAAGCCCTAAACCCTAAACCCTCATATAGTTCAACCCTAAACCCTGAACCCTCATATAGTTCAACCCTAAACCCTAGAGGCCCTAAGCCCTCATGTAGTGAATCCCTACAGCAGTGGATCCAACCTGCTCTCGGTCTCCGAAGATTTCAAGAAGTAGACGGTTCCCAACAAGAAAGGCAGATCCTGAAAGCTTTGAAGAGTTTAGGGTTTAGGGTTTAGGGTTTAGGGTTTAGGGTTTAGGGCGGTTCCGATAAAGGGCTCTTTCCTTTTAAAGGGATCCTCTAAGTGTTCGGTTTAGGGTTTAGGGTTTAGGGTTTAGGGTTTAGGGTTTAGGGTTTAGGGTTTAGGGATTCCTGCATGGGACACCTTGGAGCTTTTGGGGTTTAGGGCCTTGGGATGTTGAAAGTTCCTTTCACAAGCTCCGAACTCCCCTGACCCCTAAACCCTAAACCCTAAACCCTAAACCCTAAACCCTAAACCCTAAACCCTAAACCCTAAACCTAACATTCAAATCTCACCAGCTTGGGGTTTGGGGGTCTGACATTCAACGCTAAACAACGAACACCAGGTCTGGACCCAGCATGCCTTCTCAAGGGCATAGAACCCATGGTCCTTACAAGAACCCAACATGTGGTTTAGGGTTTAGGATTTAGGGATGAGATAAGAACACCAAAAGCACAAAACGCACGGATGACAACAACGCAGATAAGGACCCAAACATTTTCAGAGTTGAGCATTGGCGAGCTGAGCTAACAGTGTCTTATCTGGGCTCGGACTTGGTGCTGGCCGAAGGCCCAGACGTTGAGGCTTGTTCCTTAAACCCTAAACCCTAAACTGTAAACCCTAAACCCTAAACCCTATAAACCCTAAATCCCCTTGATCTGGCCTGTTAAAGGGCTTATGGGGCGGGGGTTTGCGGTGTACGGGGCTTAGGGGTTTTGAGGTTTCGGGTGTAGGGGGTTGGTTTGGGTGCAAGGTCTGGGGTTTAGGGTTCAGGGTTTAGGGTTTAGGACACTTCGAAACTTGCAGGTTTAGGATTCCGTCCTTCAAGCTCGATTTCTGACTTTGAACCTAACTGCCACTGCCCAGGTCCCCTAAACCCTAAACCCTAAACCCTAAACCCTAAACCGTGCAACTGAGTGACCACCCAAACATAGAGCCGAGGGTCCTCGGTGTTGGTTGGATTGGGCTTGATTGAAAGGGCTTCGGGGGTTTAGGGTTAAGGGTGTAGGGTTTTGGGCTTATATATATATATATAGAGGGTTTAGGGTTTAGGCTTGCGTCTAGAACTTCGGTTTGTTTTCGGACCGGAAATCCGCAGGCAATTGAAACTTCTGGAAGAAGAGCTTCGTAACTTACTGGCCGAGAAGGCAAACCCCACAAACCCTCAACCATAATCCTCCAAACCCTCAGCCGCAATGCCTTGAAAAAGGTCCTGAATCCAAAAACAATTCCCCCAACCCCCTATTCCCCTGTTGTCCCTAAGCTCGTAATTCCGAAGGTCCAACCGTAGCATCTTACCTTTGACTGCAAGCCAAGCAGCCATGTAGGGAGGCGAATCTCCGCCCACCTTCACTCAGTGTCTACATGCTCCCATACCAGTCTGATCGGCATTCCGACATAAAGGTCACCGAAAGAACGGCTGCATTACTAGAAAACCGTTTTGGGGATGTGGTATTAGATTAGAGACATAACCAAAATGCCCTAGATGCGTTATCATAACATTGCCCCAAGCTGTGCGTACGTTGCCACGTGCCATCACCCAGCTAAGGGACTGCCAGCCCAAGCTAACAAGCGCCGCAAGAAGGCCGAAATCTGAACACCTACAACCACTAATGATACAACTCTATAAATGGCTACCAAACTCTATGAACTTCCACAGCTTCCATGTCACATGCCGGAGTGGCATTGCTCACCAACAGTGTCGACAGCCAACCACTGCCCAGCACCTGCTTGCGTGGTTTGTTTGGGTGGCTGCTAACACGCTTCACGACGTACGGTTTAGGGTTTAGG